GGCAACTAAGTCAAGCTTTGCGTCATCGGCTGAATGGCTCACCACCCCTATGCTTGTACTTTCTTGTTGCAGCCTGTTCCTTCTTCTTCTTCTTGTGCGCCTGTGGAAGATGGAAGTCGTTCCTTCCAGCTGCAGAACCCGCTGCTGGTGCGGCGCGGGGAAGCCTGCCGCGCCCCCCGCCGGCGGCAGCACCGCGCGACCCTAATTAACCGTACCGTAACGTCGCGTTGACGGACAGCGAGAAGAACATGATGGCGGAAAAATATGTAGAAACATCGCTGCTCGTGTCTCGCTATTTAGTCGTCGTGACGGGCACAGGGGGTCCACCCACCCCGGTGAGAAAACTTGAGCTGCGAGGTCGGGTGTGCGCAATACATATTCGTGTACCGCATGCTATCGAAGAGCGAGGGGCGAGGAAGGCAAAGCCGCGACCCTATGGTGTAAGCGACTGCTGTACGGCGCGAACGGCAGCGGGTCGTGCACGGCAAGGACACAAAAGACTGCCGTTCGGACCGCACCTGCCGCCTTCGACAACACGGCCTCAGCAAAAGATCTAGTCGTGCCAACGCGCAACTCGCTGCTCCGTGGTGTCTTCTACCAATTGAGCGTCGAATATCAACACCTTGAAAACGCAAAGAGCCCGCCTTGCCGCCTGTTTTGTCTTGATTTAAGACAAGGAAGAGGTAAGGGCCTGCTTTAACGTTAAAAAGCTGCACCTAAATTGAGGCCCTGCAAAAAATAAGTTTGGGGGGTGTCGGGGGCCAAAGACGCTGATTGGTCAACAGGAAAAAACACGATGAGCCTTTCTCTGCCCGGAAAAGCGGGACTTCGATATTCGGTGCAGCAAAAACAATGGCAAATTGAATTGTTTTTTGTTGAATCGAAGTACCCAAGTTGCACTGCGCCCCTTTTGCACCCCCCAAGATGAGCTGAACTCGTGCTGGTGTTACCCCTGACGGGAACACATGTGACACACCGGCCGTGCGGCACCCACACGCATCGCCCACTGCCCGCTGCTAGGAAATAGCTGTGTTGCAATGATTCTGTGAGCGTGCCAACTTTTCGCGCTGGTCGGGTTGCTGTGGAAGTTGCTTTCCGATGTGCGCGATGTCAAAAGTCAACGGTCGGTTGTGTGCAGCGAGACGGTCCAAACAACAGTTGTAGAGCAAGCCTGAGGATGAGGCTTGGAACGCTGGCACCGCTTGCTGATGCTTAGCTTCGTGTGTGTGCTGATATATATTTTACAGCTGCCGTGTGGTGCACGTGGTCTATCGCTCTACCTGATTGGTCACCACGTCACCTCGCGGCAGGGATTCCGCCGCATTTGGATGTTGCTGGACCTCGATGTGGCAAAATGACGTTAAAACGACGCAAAAACCCTTTTGGCCAAAAACCCAACTTGGTCCATCCAAATTTGAATTCGGGTCCTCAATCTAGGTGCAACTTTTTAACGTTAAGACAGGCCCTAAGACTGCACGATGAGGTGCCTTTGCTGGTAGAGATCAAATCCCAACCGCTGCTCTGCGCGGCACCTGAGGGATTTTGCCTTCTCTTGCGCAATTACCGTAGGTGACATGACACAAGATACCACACCCCCTGGACCGGTATTCAAAGCTCGATTACTCCAGGACAAAGAAGGGGATGCATAAATGAAGCGATACGTTTTCGGAAAGCTCTCGACGAGACAGCTTCAATGCCACCGTTTTCGGCACTGCCACTTGTTCTGCTGCGGAGAAATCGAGCCGTGAAAACCGGTTCAGGGGGTGTGTTATCTTGTGTCACCTACGGTATCCCCAACTGGTCTTACGGATCACGTGTGTGGTCACTGGGTACTCTTTGGGTTGCTTTCGATTTCACAGATGTGTGTGGAGTTCAGGATATAGTCTACGGGATATTCATGAAGTACCGGCACACATGTTCCGTGTTACTACTGCATGTACGACATGCATAGCACCAAAAATCAAGATCGACCTTTGAGTTCTCATCCGCGCGACCCCGTTGCGTATCATCTTCATCACATGAACGATTATTGGGTTGTCACCCGCGATGCCCCCGCCGACAAGTGAAGGTGCATCTAATTGTGGGTGAGGAGTGCGAAACCAAAGTCGGCTTGCCCGTACCTCTCCCTCTCCCTCTGCCCCTCCCCCTCGCCCTGCTGCTGCTGCTGCCGCTGCGGGCAGACTGCGAGGGGACAGAGAAATCGTCGATATCATTTCCTCCTCCTCCTGCCCAACCAGAACCTGAACTTGCCGGCGCTGGTGCCGATGCTACTCCCGCGTCGATACTCCCGGCCCGAGGAGCGAAGAATTCCGCTGAGGTTCCATTCAACGACGACGGGGGAGTGTGAGAGTCTGAGAGAGCGGGTTGCCGTTGGTGCTTCTGTCTTGAACGAATATGTCACGATCATGATGTTGAGGCATCCAATTTTGAAAAACAGAAAAAAACTGGAGACAAAAGGAGCCAGCAGATAGAGATAGAGGGAGAGAGAGAGCGAAACCTCGGTCGCATGCCAAGGTGGGGGGTTCCAAGACCCACCTGCTTCCCAATCGTGGGACATTTGTGTGTCTGAAGGGCCAGAGCTCCAAAGGTATGCCTGCAAGTGGTGGTGTGTTCGGTGGTCTCCGTTCCCCCCCCCCCTTCCATTTCCGTTCCACGTTCCACGGGCCCTCTGTATTGTCCCGCACATCGATGTGTCAGTGTGTCGTCAGGAGGAACAGGAATACCGGAAAACACCTCGACTCTTTTGTGGGGAGGTTGTGGGGAGGTTCTTTCTTTGATTTCCCGTTTGTCCCTCAATCCCAATCCAACATCGATAGCAGGAGGTAAGGGGATGCACCAAGAAAGCGTCTGTTTACCTATATATACTTACTTCTATATTCCACGTATTTCGAACAGTAACCCCAATCTAGAGGTTCCACGGAGGGTACAATGGTCGTTGTACGAGCACCACTCGATAAACGGCTATGAAACGGCGACGAAATCGTGTACAATCTCCAAGAGTTTGAGCGCCACAAAGTCATCCTAGAAGGCGAAACACCGCCAATCTGAAAGAAACGCCTCTTCAAAAAAATTTCGCGCTGCGCGCAAAAAAAAATATAATAGCCCAGATTGTCCCTACCTATGGTTTCTGAGCCCGCACATCATCACATGGATGATTCATCATCTGATCTGTCATCATATGTGTTCCAAGATACGTTGTATCCACGTCGGCCGATTTTCAAAGCTCGATGAAAACCATCTTCCAGTGTAGCACCGGTGGAAGGGGGGGGGGGGTGGTCGATGTGGTACTGCTGTAGTTGATGCGGGAAAGTGGGAAAGGGGGGAGGGAGACTAAAAACTGATCCCTTCTTCTTCCCTTTTCTTGTACAAGACAAAAACACAAAAACACGATCATCACCATCTTGTGTAAAAGAAAAGAAACGATGTTTGCTCGTTTAGCTCCCATTGCACGGAAAAGCAAAAATATAGCGACATTGCTCCCTTCTTGTAGACTACAGACAGCAGAACAGGCCTGTGCAACCCAAATGATCGCGTGGGGCGATAGGGAGATTCGGCACCATGGAGTGTGTGCCATGTGCACACATGCACATAACCAACACCCCTAAAGTGCATTCATTCGTGTTAACTATCCCAACACTACCAGCAAAAGTCAAACAACACACAATTACCAAACCAATACAAGAGTTTGAGGTTAACGCACACCAACTAAAGCAATGTACGAGGTACCAACCCATATTTTCACCTTAGTCAAAAAAACGCACAACAAAATACCCCCCCAACGCACTCCCGCCAACAAGACCACAGAGCGATTGCGTGGTTTCGCGCCCTCACGACCCTTCCCCTGGTCCTTACGCCCCCCGTCCCGCCCCCGGAAACAAAATTCAGTGCGTCCTTCCTCCATCGATATCTTTACCCACTCGCCACGCGTTAACACAGCGGCAGGAAGAGCAAAGGGTGGGCACGGAATCAACGAGGGGGGTGCGTCAGCCAGCCGGCGAGGACCAGCAGCGGGCCCCCCAACAAATCGTTTGTTCTTTCATACATGTACATTGGAAAATAGGCACTGCAGTATACCTCTCTGGGGGATGTACGTCTGTCTTCGCCCAACGACGCGCTAGTCGCCGCTGCAAAAGCGCATCGCCCCGAGCAATGCGAAAACTCTTCGAGTCTTGCTGTATTGTAGTCGGCCTGACTTCCCTACCACCAATGCGGTGCCCATCTTCCGACACCTGACTCCTTCACGGGAATTCAGCACCCTCAACATCCTTCAAACACCTGGATACATGAGCACCTTCACCTACGTATCGCTCCACGCCCATCACAAAGATGCGTCATCATCTTGCTATAGACGCGCTGCACTGATAAAGCGAGCGTGCCGGGCAGGCAGGACTCTCCGCCGCGGCCCGGCGCACACTCTTAAAAACAGACCAAGATAACACTGGCGAACATAATCCAACCCCCCCAAGGAGAGACGAGCGCACGCGCCGCGTTTTCTTGGCTCCGTGGGCCACGAAAAAGAGAGCATGCGGCGGGGCAATGCGGGGACTACAGTAAAAACACGCCCAAGTCCGCACGCCCGCTCGCCGCCTACAGGCTACACTCCTATATCGACACCTTACGGCTGATCCAAATATTGTATGTATGTCACACTGTTCAACACCTCTCCCTCCAATTCCCAATACGTCAATTTAGATGCGCCCCAAGACGTGCGAGCACCAAGCAAGCGCTCCGCGCAGGGTGTGCTGCTTTGCTGCTGCTCCCAGACGGCCTCCGAATCCCCCCCCCCAAAAAAAGCGAAAGACAATGCCTTACCGACCCTGCCGGCTCGTGTGGAAGAAACAAAATGGTATATAGCAACACTAAAGCGAACAGGCACGCTCGTCGTGGGTCTCAACGGGCCGCTTGCACAGAGAGAGAGAGGTCTTCGTCAGTACGACCACTGCTTGACGAGGTAAAGGAGGGGAATGAAGGACAGGATGAACACAGCGTCCACCGCGCCCCACTTGGCCACCAGCATGGCCGTCTTGCGCTTTGTTCGGCTGGCCGACAGGCTGCCGTAGGTCATGCCCGGGGCGGGGGGCGTGAAAGAGGAAGAGACAGATTAGAGACGGGTGCGGGAAATCAAAACCGGCCCAGTGTTTACTCTCCTCGCACATGCGTAGATGACAAGGTCGACACAATCGTAATCTTCACTGCGGTACAACAAGAACAACAACAACAACAACGACAAGAACAAACGCTACAATTCCCATGACGCCGCGATTAATAGCGTTTCAGCCTGTATCCCCCACCCCACATCCATCCCGCGGGTGGAAACCCCACGTTCCGCCGTCGTCCCGGACTCGGACGGATGTCTGCGATGACACCCTTCAAGACAGCAAGGGGTGCTCTTTTACAGCTTCGATGGCTGCCCGTTAGATGTAGCTTACCGAATACCCCAGGCCGGTCGGTCGGTCGGTCTCACCTGTTACGTCTCCGCGGCTTGGTGTCGACGCCGGCGTCATCGCCACCTCCTCCACCTTCACCGCAGCCGTCCGGCTTGCCGCTGCCGCTAACCCCCCCGGTCTTATCCCCCTGCCCATCACCACCGGCGTCGCCAACACTGCCGCCGTTACTACCGCCGTCTGGAAGCGATCCCATCGAGCTCATCGACTCCGACGCGCTCGTCACACCTCCGGTCAGTGCCCCCGCCCGCACGCCCGCTGACGCTGCCGCCGCATCTGCGGGGTCCTCTCTTACCGCCACGAAGAGCAACACCCATAGGCTAAAGAGGCTCAGGGTGGCGAGCCAGGGAAGCTTGACCTCGGGGGGCGAGGACGCGTTCATGAGTGGCTGCGGGAAAAACTTAATCCACAGTAGGATCTCCACCTGCTCTCCCCAACCCCCCGGAGCCCCCCCCCCGCCCCCCCCAGGAGAGCAGGGCGCGGGGACAGGACATGAGGTGGACAATTTTGTTAGGGGTGTTGAACACATCCCTCTCGTGACACACAGGAAAGCGGCGGAGCAAACTACTTCGCTCATGCAAAATACGAACAAACATCAGTCAGGATTATAGACCTTGACCTCACTTGAACTGTTCGCGCGCCTTGCTTACACTCCCACACACCGCCACATCCCCCTCGTACGACTACTATGCTAGGGTGAAAGAGGACGCTCTAGAAACAGACAGAAGACTGTCTTTACGAGTAAAAGTCACCCGATTCTGCTAATATACTATACGTTGAGCATGAAATCACCTGCATGATGGCAAGAATAAGCCATGCGTTTTGCCCCAGCCGGTTGCAGGCGGGGTTGGAACAGTACTCGTAGTATTCGCTGCATGCCAACAGGGCCACCAGGAAGATGACCGTCATGCGCATGTAGTTGAAGTTAGAATTGTTGGGGATCTTTAGCGCGGGGAAGGGAGACGCGACGCAAGAGAAGGAAGGGAGAGAAGCGTAGAGAAAAAGAGGAAACAAACAAGGGGAGGAACGAAGGCAAGCGAAGAGAAGGAAAGGAGAGAAGGAAAGGAGAGAAGGGCAGGAAAGAGAAGGAAAGAAGAGAAGAAACCAAGAGGGGGTAAGGGTAGATGGACGGTTTTTGGAGGAAGCTTTCGCGGATCCCGCGTATTGGGTTCCTATTCCAGCAACAGCAACGATAGCGGCAGCAGCAGCAGCAGCAGCAGCAGCAGCAGCAGCAGCAGCAGGAGCAGCAGCAGGAGCTGCAGCAACAATAATAACAACAACAACAACATGACCGCAACAAACTCGCGGTTTGACTGTCTTTGCCAGACCATCGTCAGCCAGAGAGCGACAAGGCACTTGGTGTGCCTGGCCTTCGAAAACATCGTCACCCCAGTGGAGCGAGCGCTTGCCAACACGTACCGCCGTATCAACTGTTATCGTATCAACTGTTATCGTATCAACTGTTATCGTATCAACTGTTATCGTATCAACTGTTATCGTATCAACTGTTATCGTATCAACTGTTATCATATCAACTGTTATCGTATCAAGAGACTGTTTTCCGGCTGTTAGAAGAACGCGCTGCTGGGAGACAGGCTCGACCATCCCCGTGAAATTTTTCACCCAAACACCTTCACTCTCCTGTTCAAGGCACGTGTTTTGGTCTCATACAACCGGGATCAAGGTAACGTGTCGTAGAGAAGACACCCAACAGTCTTTAACAAGATACGCAGCACAGATAAAGGGGCGACGACTGAAGCGATGCACGCTACGTACCGATTGCTCAACACCTACCATATCAGAGGGGGACACACAGAGGAATATACCGTCCACACCCTCACCACCACCTCTAAAATCCACACTCTGGTTCCGATTACTTTGTTTTGGTCCCCTCACCTCCAAGGCGTTCATCACCAGGAAGGCGTTGAGCTCCAGGAGCATCGTGGCCGCGACCATCGAGAACACCTGCGCCGTCCTCTTCAAGCTGCTGAAGGCCTCCCACCGCCACTTGCTCCAGCCGAGCGGGGAGAACTTGGCAAGCAGGCGCTGATCACCACAACGACAAACACCAATGGGACGGGATGGGACGGGACGGGGGGGACAGAATAGTATCGATTACCAGAAAACCTTGCCGATGGTCCCGGTGAATTTCGAGTTCGCACGAGAAAGACAGGACAAGACAACCTGTTCGCAAAGCACGTTCGAAGCGTTCTTTTCAGTATGGCGGAGGGTGTCGGGAGCGGGGGGTAGGTCGGGAGATGGGGGGGGGGGGGGGGGACCCCGGGACCCGAACTGGGAAAAAGGTTTGGGGGCAGTCCGGGGAAAAAAAAGAAAACCCCCCGGGCCCTTTTCTCCCCCCAAAAAAAGGGGAGAAAAAAAAAAAAACACCGGGCCGCCCCCCCCAAAAAAAAAAGGGGGGGGTTAATTTGTGGCCCCAAAACTCGTCCCCCCCCCAAAAATCTCGCCCGCTCGGGGGAATTTTCCTTGGTGTTCCCGTCGGAAGGCCCCCCCCCCCGGAACCTGAACGGGGAAAACCCCCGGGGCCTGCCCAAAAAGTTTGCCCCCCCCAGGGCCATGAACAGGGAGTCCCCCCCACCCTCCTGGAAATGAACAAAAAGCCCCAAACCCTGGTAACCAAAATTTTCCGCCATTAAAGAAAAAAATTAACGGGAAAATGGGGGGTGTTAAAAAACCCAAGCAAAGAGGGGTGTTCGCCTGC